CCAAGTAGCTGGGACCACAGGCGCCTGCCACAACGCCCCGGCTATTTTTTTTGGTTGCAGCCGTCATTGTTGTTTGGTGGGTCCGGGCTGGGGATTCAAACCCGCCACCTTAGGTGTACGTGGCTGGCGCCTTAGCTGGTTAAGCTATAGGCGCCGAGCCCTTTCCTGTATCTTCATAGTAAACTTCCTGAAATTTGGATCTTACTATTTTATTTCCTCAAAATTTGATATTTTTTTTCTTGACTGCAAGATTCACTAATGTGATATACAAAGTCTTCATGATTTTAACCCCTGCTAACCATTTTAGCTTCATAGCTTTTATTGCTCTTTCCCTCATCATAGCTCTCCTAGAAAACCTCCTTTGGTAGAAACAAACAGAAAAGCAAAATCAAGGACAACTCTTTAGCTCTAGCCACAGTATGTGATTTTTAGTTTACTGCTAATCATTTTCTGGGGTTGGTTATTCTGCCTGCATTGACTTTCTTGTTTTGTCCTACTGGAAAATTTCTATTGACTGTTCACTGATGCTGCTCAAACATCTTTTCCTCTCTAAAACAAGTGGTATTCTCTCCTTCATGTTATTTTAAAGAACTTACTGAATTTCTCTAGTTATTTGTTTATGTATGTGGCTGGCACCCTAACCACTGAGCTACAGGTGCCAAACCAGACTTGAATAATTTTTACTTTGAGTTTTATTATTGGTATTTAAAAGAGAAAACATGGAAGAAAAGAGGGGAAGTTTCTTTGATATTGGTTGTGGCAGTGCTTTTTTGGTTAGGACACCAAAAGCCCAGGCAACAAAAGCAAAAATAAGCATGACTACCTCAAACTAAAAAGCTTCTGTACAGCAAAGGAAACAGTCAACAAAATAAAAAGCCAGCCTATGGATTGGGAGAAAATATTTGCAAACCATTTATCTGATAAGGGGATAATACTTTAAATATGTAAGGAAATCACAGAACTCAATAGCAGAAAACCCAAATAACCCCAATATGAGAAAAGAATTTAAATAGACATTTCTCCAAAGTAGACGTAGAGGTGGCTAATAGGCATATGAAAGGGTGCTTAACATTATTAATCATCAGGGAAATGCAAATCGAAACCACAATCATTTCTTACCTATTAGAATGGTTTTTATCAAAAAGACAAGAAATAACAAATGTAGGCAAGGATGTGGTGAAAAGGGAACTCTTATACATCTTTGGTGGACTATAGATTGGTGTAGCCACTTTGGAAAATGGTATAGAGCTTCCTAAAGAAATTAAAAACAGAACTACCATATGACCCATCAGTTACTCTTCCAGAGGAAATTAAATCACCACCTTGTAAAGATAGCTGTATTCTGGCTCGGCGCCTATAGCTCA